ACATTTAAATGTCTAAACTGACATTTCTTCTTTCTTGATCTACTGTGTTGTGATGGTAAGAGTAGAATAGAAAGACAAGGAGGCATAATTTTAAAAGATCTGCTAGCAGTCCATGAGGATTGTCCTGATGTTTGTATTATAGACTAACAAAATATTGGCTTCATTACAGAACCTCCTGCAGCTAAAAGTGCTTCATAGAAGAAAGTTAAAATTGAGTGGGACATCATTCCATGTGGGAGAGCTTTTAAATTCATACCACAGATTTTTCGAATCATTTAAGCAGTGGTAGTGTCTGCCAATGTAAGGGATCTTAATTCAGAGAAAACACAAGTTTTCACAGAATGTAACTTACCTGATTAGAAAATTAAATTTAATTCAAAGACTGATGAAGCACTATTACAGAAATATTTGCTAAATATAAAGGTTACTATGTTCATCACATGTTAAATCATGCAAGTCAAACCTGGAAGACATCCTTTTCTTTTAGTATTAAAATGCATAACTACTAGGAGCAGGTGAATTCAGGGTATTTTTCTTATATAACATACACAGGTGAGTACTAAAATCTTTTTTTTTTTAATAGGGATTCTGGAGCAAAATTAATGTCAAACATATCTTTCCAGTTGCTTTTACAACTGCAGTGACTTCTCTAATATTTAATCCATTCCAAATCAGTGTATCACTTTAGAACATGCATTAGGAATTAGGCATAGTTTATGTGCTGTCCTGGACAGAGACGTTTTCATAGTTTCTGAGTTTGATCTGCCGTTTCATATATGTGTTGAAATTTTTTATATTTTAGGTTGTTTATACCTTTCATTTTCTTACCTGTTTCTATTTTCTGCACAAGACAGCTTTCACTGATACCAGCCCTATTTCCTCTATCAATACTGTATGTATTGTAACTCATTCCCTGCCTCTGGATCATAAATCTTTTTTATGCTGATAGTCCCTTTAAGGTTAATTCTGCAGGAGGAAGCACAAACAAGTTGTGATCTTCAGGAACTGGCAAAGCATCTGCCACCAAAAATCATGTTTCTTATGACTGTAAGGCTCTAAGATACCTAAGGTGTGTTATATTTCCTAATTAGCAATATTCTTGAAAAAATGTAGGCCAGCTGCTCTGTGTCTATAAATTAATCATCTTTTAAATCCTGTGCAGCTTACCAACTTTCTTCTTCCTTCAGCTGTCTTAAGACTGAGGATTTTAATGACTCTGTCATGAGCAATTAACTGTTCAACAAGGAAATGCTGTTTGGTTTCAGACAAGAGAGGAGATGGCTTTCTGATTTGAATAGCAGGTTTTAAATACTTTCTGTAGCTACATGTTCAGCTCTTCCCAGAGTCAACTTAATGTCCAACTGCTACAGCAAACATTAGTTTCTATACAGTTTATGATATGAACGGGATATTCCCATCAAGGACAAGACAAAGACATTGACATCAAAGAGGTCATCAAAGACAAGGACAGCTTGTCGGCTTTGCCATTGATAATTCATTTAGGCAGATGTATGCACCAATAACTTTCCTTCCCCTCCCACCTCTCCCCCCACTATTATGTGGTATGATGAGGGCTGGTTTTGTTCACTGCATCTTGGAGGTACCAAGCAGTCTTTCCCATTCCAGTATATAATTTGCAATGTGCCTCAATTACTTGCATTTGTAAGATGGTAGTTCACTGATATTCTGAGGTTTTTGAGATGCCTTGCACCACAGGAAACAGTCTTGACATTTTACATTTTAAGCGAGTTCTTAAGGATCTCACAAAGTCTACTTTGAATTTGGATTTTTAAAGTGTTGAAGTGTTTAAATTGTGACCACATTTGTGGTGCTACAGATCCTTTAACTTTGGGTGGGTTTTTTTCCCTGAGCATATTAGTGTGGCTTCTTTGCATTGGTTTTCTAGAAATCAGGAAAAACTGCTACCAAAAAATGTGGGGGATCAGTGAGAGAGCTCTTAAGACTCATAATTAATAACGTCTTTTTTTCTGTAATTTCTCCATTTCTTAGCAGATGAGATTCTTCTGACTTCTGTATGGCATCAATGAGTAGTTGTAATTGCACAGTGTGTTTAAATAATTTCTTGCAACCAAGCTTTTTCTGGCTTAATATCAATTGCCTTATCATGTAAGGAGGCTGGAATGCAAGTCTTTAAAAGCATAATTCACTTGATCCATGTATACAGTGAAAAGAGAGCACTATAAATACAATTGCTGATTGTGGCAGCAAATTGTGCTGAATGGCAAACTAAGATCAGCAGTCTTTCTTTAATGAAGGTGAGGGGAACCTGCTGAGGATAAATAGTAGCATTGATCCTTAATGGGATGGGAGACAGTGCTGCAGAGCATTACTTCCCTTGTTGTTCATCCTTTGTGCCTGTTCTTGCAAGGCGTGTGACTATTTTTATATTCTTTCTTTTATGTCTTTTGTGGTTTCATTGTAAATGAGATGCTTTGCTTGTGTTTGATACCTGCATTTTGTTCTCTTCATTATGCCAAGAAACTGGTTCTTCCCTGCTCTGTATGTTCCCTTCCTTCAGTGATTGGTAAATGAGATCTCATGAGTTGTGTTTATACACTCTCATATCTCTGTTACCGTCTTTTGCCTGGGTTTTCAAGGCCTCTGCTTGTCATCTTTTTCACTTACCAGTTTTCTGTACGTAGATAGAAGGTTACTTCAGTCAAACCTGCTTCTACACATCTTTGGAAAGGGCATACAGACCAGTTGAATCTAAAATGTTCTCCAACACATAAAAATAAAAATGAAACCACAGCAAAAAACAGTTGAAACTACATCAGAATCTGTTCAGGAAATGTTTCCAAATCATTACAATTCATAATAATTATAGCTTATTTTTGAATAATTCATTATTACTTTTCTAAGATTTTTTCATTGGCATATTTCACTTACATTTTGTTATAAAGAGCAAATGACCTATAAATATGCAAAGAGCATAAAAGTAGTTATTTGATCTAATACCCTTTTTTTTTTTTTTTTACTCCATGTAACCAACAGAAATGTACAAGTTGGAATAGAACATAAGTTACGATATACTCATTATAACAGGCACCTAGATTTCTCAGTCAAGTAGTCAACTACTTCTCAGCAATACGCAGGTTGCCTTCTTTGGGCATCTTCCTCTTGGGCTGATTTTGGTAATTAGGGTAGTAAATCTATTAGAACCCTAAACCCCAAAGAAGATCCTTCAGCACATTAACATTTAGAAAAGAATTGCAAATTTTGTTTAGGTTATATTCAGCTATCAGCTTCTGAAAATATTAACAGAGTGTAAATGCCACTTTTACTCATCATGGAGTTTTACTGTTTTGGAGATATGTAAACTGGAACATGGCAAGGGGAAGTTGTCTTGCTTAGGGTTCCCATTCAGCCCAGTGGCAGATGTTCTAGGACATTGGGCTCCTTGTGTCCAGGCTTAAGCTCATTTTTCAGGGTCATTGGTTTTGTTGCTTTTTCTGTTGTCAAAAAAAGAGAACATGTTCCCTTTAGGTAGTCTGAACCCGGCTTTGTGCAGAGGAAACCATTTGGCTTGTATTTTATTGTGTCTTTACCTTGTACAGAAGAGTAAATAGAGGCAGTGCAATAATACCTGAGCAAGTATACAGCCTGAACCCCTGGTCCTTAAATCTGTCTGTTTTCTTCGAGGAGCAGTGAGGAGCCTTTTGATTGTATTATTCCCTCTTCTTCTGTCTCACTACTGTAGTAGGCTTAAATTAATTCTGTTTGACATTTCATACTGCTTAGAAGTAAAATGCTTGTGTTTTTGTCATAGAAGTGATTGTTATTGTTCTTTTCTAACGTACTGTAATAATGAGCACAAGTTCTTTGCATTGAATTTAAAAAAAAAAAATCACAGATTTTCACAGCAGTATTCAACATAGACATTTCCCTTTTATGCCTTTGTTCATATTCTGCTAGTCTGACTGGAATATGAATGCGTGAGAAAGGATGTGTTGCTGCAGTATATTAGTTAGATGTACTATATAGGCATTTAGTACCCATTTCTAATAGTAAATTAGGACTTCTGAATTTACATACTAGTAAATTACATGAAATAGTTATTTTAAATAAATTGTAACTGTAAATAATTGGTGGCATGTCCTGTTACATGATGTTTGTGGTGATATTTCTTCCCAGAGTGATACAAGACTACTAGGATTACTTGGGACTCCTGGACTTAAAGGCCAGAAGGGAGACATTGTAAGCATTTTGGATTAATTTGGAGAAATTTCAAAGTGTCTATCTAATCTGACACACTTATGCAGTATCTTTGATTTCATTTATCACAATGGTCTTTGAAGGAATAGAGTTTAGATATGACTGGCTCTTTAAACTCTATAGTCCAATACCGGACTCATCTTGTTATCCTGCATGTACAGCACATAAGCTTTTCATCTGTAATATACAATAACCAGAAAGGGAAAATTCAGAAAGAAGTGTGGTTTCTGCATCACTGTCTGAGGACAAGTCAAATGAGGTGGCCAGCTGACTAGGGGGAAAAAGACTCCAAAAAAGTCAAAATTCAGAAAATCTTTTTACTGTTAAATGGTCAATATTTAAAGCAGTTTCTCTGTAACAATGGAACTTGCTATACCAAAAATACTTCAAATCAGCCTCTAAAAATGTTGTGGTCAAATTCTGAATCCACATCATGAGACAATATATCGTTTATAGGCATCTGTCCTATTTAAACAGTGGAATGAATACTTAACAACTGGATGCCTTTCAGACTTGGAAGAAGAGAGGCAAGTGCTCTGGCTATGTGACAGGATTGACAAAGTTTTTTTATTGAGAAGCCTGAAGCTCTCCTGCAGAAAGCAGTCAATTTAAATTAATATGGAGATGTTTAAAGCTCGGATTTCCATTGCAATAAAAGTTATCATTTTGTGCTTTATACAGAACAAAGTACAGTTGAAAGAGAGGAGTTTATTTGCTTTTTTTAGAATATAAAATGTTTTAAATATAATTTATTTTGTTAAAAGGGTCAAAAAGGAGAATTGGGAATGACTGGTGCAAAAGGAGAAAAGGTAAATTAATTCCTTACTTCTGTGTTTATGTGTGATACTAGAAGGTGGCTGAATGATTATGAATCAAATATTTGGAAAATATACTCAGGATAAACAAAATATATTTGGCATAGCTGTCAGTCTCTGGATGTCCTTAGTAATTTACTTAAGCCTGTCCTTGAGAGATTACTTATGTCTACAAGTAAATTTCCCTGTCCCAACAGTTCACGAAGTCCTTAACGTCAAACACATTCAAACTTTGACTGGATACCAGTTTAAGATTACATTTATGTAAGTTTATGATCAGTGATTGGCTCACAAGTTAGGCACCATTCATATTTTTTCAAGTTAAAATGGAATTTTCAATATCTATACAAGAAAAGAGGAGTCTAAATTACTAAAACTTATAAATAAATTCCCTCATTTAATATTTTTTCATTTAAGCTTAAATTTCTCAGAAAGACTTGTTGGAGGGGGAGGGGAAATGTTATTGAGGAATAGGAATGTATTGTATTTTTCTAGGAACATGCAATATATCCAAGTTCTTCATCCACTGAATAATAAGCATTTTGCTATTTAGCTGTTAAGCTTCCAGTTGTTTTCCTTGGTCATTTCCTTGTGTATAAACAATTTTCATGCAGGCAGAAACTTTTTTTTTTTTACTCTGTTAATGTGACAGTTTCATAATTTTATGTGTTATAAAGTATTTGTGTTTGAGAATTTGTCAGATTTGTACATGTCATTCTTTTTACTTCATGTTCTTGACTCTCCCTTGTGCTCCTTGCTTAAAAGGATCACACATGTCATGGTCTTGTCATTAAATCAACATTATCCCTCAAGTAAACTTTTGTAATCCATATACTTACATTTTATATAGGTTTAAAAATACCCAACATTTTTCAAGGACTTTGGCAAAACCAGACATATGTACTATTTGCCATTTGAAATAAATCTGTTTTAACCTCTTCTTTATGTTTCCATAGGGAGAGCCTTCTGAAAAAGGGGACAAGGGAGATCCAGTGAGTATAGCTGTGTTTTGAAATGATGATATGAATAATTTACATTTGATGTTATTTTCACACTGTGTTCACACTGGAATTCTTTCCTTCATACACTTTCATTACATTCAGTGATTATGTAGGATAGCATATGTATGGTTTCCTTCTTAAACATGCGTCAGGTTCATGCAGATTATAAATAAAAAACAGAGATGTCCTGTTTTTCAGCATTTCTGTAGTTGGTACAGTCCATGAACTGAGTTTAAATGACAGGCTTTTTTTGTTCCCTGAAGGTTCGTTCTTCCTGTTATTTCACAAAATTATATGTGGGCTGAACTCTATTATTTTAATTGTTTTAGCAGTTTCCAGTGTGGCACTTAACATCAGGTAGTTTTCTTATAGCCATCTTCTGCATGCTTTTTTTTTTTTTTATTTTTGTTGTTATTTTGGGGAATATTTTCAGAACAGTCATTCTGTAAGAGTCTGTTTTCATGTGTTGCTTATTTTTAATGAACTATTGTCCTCCCTCAGAACATTTGACAAAAGCTAGTTACGCTGTTTAATACACAACTGAAGGTTGCTCAGATACTTGTGATTAACATATTATAATAACCAAATGAGGCATACTGTAATAATGTGTGGCTTTGGAGATTAATACTGTGTCACCAATGGAGATTTAATGGTGAAGAATAGGCTTTAGAGTGGAGGAGCCCTTAAGCAGATGTGATGTTTTCAAACTTTTTTTCTTTAAAACACTAGGAAAACCTGCAACCAGAATTAGTTTTAAAGAGGAATGCCCTTCAGAGTTCGCCCAAGACATCAGAAATTCTTTAATGTTTTCTCAGTATTTGTTAAGTTTGCAAACTACTTTATAATATTTTAAGGGAGCAAATTAAACTCTTAGTTGATCTTAGTTAAAGTTTTAACTTCTTATGGTTATACCTGCTATTTTTAGGGAGAAACTGGAATGGAGGGATCAAAAGGAAGTAAGGTATGTTTTGACCTGTACACACTATATATGTCACTGGTGTACAGAGCTGAACTAGGAGACATAACAGTAAATCTGGATTTTTTTATTTTCTCAAACAATATCATTAGGGTGAAACAGGAGACCCTGGACCACCTGGTCTAATTGGAAATCCAGGATCAAAGGTAGGCAAAAGGTATATTTGTGGAATTAACAGCCATTGCATTCTATGCTGTTATATAAGCCACATAGACGAATGCTATTAATTCTTTAGCTAGTATTAAAGGGCAGAGAATGCTTATAATTTATATCAAAATTTTGTGCATGGATTATGGCTTTTTTGTTTTTAGTTCATAAAATTCTTGTTGATCTCAGCATGACTCAGCAAGAAATATTTATGCAAAGCTCAAATGTTATTTGGTCACTTGATAATACAAGCACCCATTTTGCAATTACGAATCCGCCAGTAGCTGGGTGTATTCTTTATCCACCAGTGAGTAACCACTTCCAATTCATTACTGGTTCCTGTGTTTAATCCTGCGGGATTGCAGGTAAGGTCAAAGTAGTCATTGCCTTGCTTTGAAGAAAGTAACTGAAGAAATGTTCTTTGAGAATCTCTCATGATGCCTTGAATTTTCTCAAAAATAACGGTAGAATTGGAAACTCTGAAAATGTAACCTCCACCCAACAGTATTCCTGTTGAAGTCATGGTACCCAAGTTCCTCAGATCATCAAAGGAAGTCCAGGAATTAATAGATACAGCTATAGGGTCCATGAAACTGTGGTCTTAAAAGTGATTCTCCACTCTAATTCCTTAGGCTGCTCTTTGGAGGCTAATGTCCTGGGTAGGAGCTACTGAAATAATGACTGTTACTGCAGTGGAAATCTAGGTCGCCTTCACACTGCACACCTTCCAGAAGAGGCTCATAGAGACCCAAGGATCATTAGGGTTTGCACCAAGTCATCCTTCTATCTCTATGTCTCAATCCGCTTTTCTTTCCAGTGCTCTGGAGTCCTTCTAATGAGCTGTATTCCAAAACGAGAACACCTACCATGTAGTTAAAAAAAATCACTTCTGCATCTGTCCCTTGTGGGAGAAAATCTTGATTTACTCCTTTTGTTTTGACTTTCCCTTTAGATAGTACCTTTGTTTTTACTTGTATTTACTTTGTATGCATACTTTGGATTTTGTACTTACCAGTCCCAAAAATTTATTGGACTAAACATTAGATTAAAGGAGAATGAGCAAACTCTGTACTTCTTACTCCATGCAGAAGATAATTCTATGCCAGATGTTGTTATCTATTTGTATATGAGAACACCTTACACTGAATTATAACGGATGCATTGACTTTTCCTCAAGCATGTGTTATATCATTTCACAGGGTCTGCAAGGACCTCCAGGACCTGTTGGACCCAGGGGACTGCCAGGAGAAGTGGTATGTATTGAGCAGTTTCACCAAGCTGTAAAAGTGTGGTGTGTGAGCTGTTAGTCAGTGAAGCAGTACCACAGAAGTTGTCACAGGTGCTCCGTTCGTGGGTGGTACTATAGCAATTATATATTGAAGCACTACTACTGTATGGGATGCCACAGGATAGAGTTCTGCCATTTTCTTTTGTTCTCTTTCTCCTTGTGTTGCTATCTGAGCAAGTAAGAATGGTAATACTAATTTGTCTGATTCACAGATAATTAGCTCTGCAAAAATTACTCTGATCTCACAGCAGTAGGTGAAAATTTAAAAACATCTCTAGCAAAGATTTAATAATGTTACATCATGAGCTGGAGAGGGTAGTGTGTGTGGAGTGAAATGTGAAGAAACAGTGAAAGTAAGTGTACCCCAAGGATTTAAACCCACGACCTTCCGTATTTCTGCCTATGGTTTTGTATTATTCTGAATTGTTTTACTTCCTGTGAAAGAGGTAAAGATTAATAAAGTGAAAAGGATAAACAATTATGTTTATTATCTTACAAATTTAGGTCAGATTTACAAGTAAACCTCATATTCAGAACAAGATACAATTCTATTAAAACTAGGGGCAATATTAAAGTCTTTGGCACGAGTAGTATTGGTTGGAAAGAATTTAATAGAAAACTTACTTTTTAATTACTGTTCAGTAGATTAAATTGCTAAAATACAACACAAACCAAGACAACTTAATGTCCACTCATCCCAGGTGAGCAACAATCTCCCTGCTGGAAAGGATCCAATGAACACAGTGCTAATAGGGGAATGAGTGAGAGTGAGATAATCAAGAAGAGTAAAAGCTCTTACCTCAGTGATTCTTAAATACACCCCAGTATCGAGATCCACTACAGGTTGTCAGATGGTGTCAGAAGCAGGATACAGACGGTTTCTTGACCCATCAATTGGGATTGTCAAGAAAGTGAGAGGGGGCTCAGCAGAGTTTTAATGATCCTCTAGTTATCGTGCATTTGGGTGTGCCACATTCAGGTTTGCCAACTGGTTGGGTTTGTCAAGGTGACAGGGGCCTCCTTCATAAGGGTGTTATTGCGCCTGTGACCGTTACGCTGCAGGGCAACAGATTGACAGGTCTGGATCCCTCAAAATGGGAGGGGCCTCCCCCAGGATCCAGCATGCCTGTACCCCTTGTGCCTCTTGAGTAGGAAGAGCACGGGTGAAACTTCCATCCAGTCTGAATACTCCAGGAAACATCTTAAACTATTAGGCACTGTTATACTAAGCTTGAAAATTCCCTCGGCATTTGACTTGACACTATAATGTAGGAGAAGGTCTTCGGAAGAGATAGCTGCCTGTCTTCCTTCCAAATTATGGGTCAGTCCCTTTTTAGGTATGCAGGCAACTATGTTCTGCCTAATCCCCCTTGTAAACTGAAATTAGTTTTCGGTCCAAACACTGGTGTTGTCACATAACCTAAAAAATGCCATCTACTCCCTCTCCCTGGTTCACCTCCCTCCCTTCCTTCATAAACTGTAAAATGGTTTTTAAGTACCATTTTGGAAGTTTGAGTGGTTAGATCTAAGAATTGGACTAGAGAAGCAGAAAATAGCAAGCTTGGCTTTAACCTAGCAGTTAAACCGTTTAACTGAAATGAGATTTTGATCTTTGCTCTGTGGGTTGGTTTTGGTTTTAATCTTTTTTCTACAAAAAGAAGCATCTAGGAGGTGTTGTTGCTGCATTTTTGCCTTTCCATACATGCTCTGAGACTACTTTGTGGAAGAGAACCCTTAATTTGAACAGACTTTTAAGTCGTATGTTATTAATATTAAAGTAAAATTCTGAGTGGTACAGCTGGCATACTTTTATTGTTGACCTGTTAAAAGTCTTCGGGATATAAGCAGTGACAACTGGAGTACAGCATCTTCAGCTCTTGGCAGAGAAAAAAACCAAGTATTAAAATCTGTATGTAGTTATCATGTACTGTTACTCACTGAACATTGCTGTACACCTTATTTTCATACTCAGTTGAGGCCCACATTTTTTAAATTGTGTCTAATATATCTGTCTTCCGTGACAATATTTTATGAACCTTTTCTGATATGTTTCTTTTAATATATAGATCCCAAATCTTACTGTGAGAGACACCAAAATACTGCATTTATGTTTTGCTTGTATTGCCATCGTCCTGCTTGAGTTCATAATTGCTGGCTCTTTGATCAAGTGATATTATGAATAGATAAATACTGTATATAATATATGTAGATCTTGAAGGTTCATATTTGTACACGTAATTCTATTATATTAAAATCTATGTTTAAATATATTACAGAAACATGTATTTAGATCTAGGCCTGTTGTTCTGTTTCACCTTCTGAAGATGAAACATTATGGAATAACAAATACCTTAGAATCATAGAATAGTTAGGGTTGGAAAGGACCTTAAGCTCATCTAGTTCCACCCCCCCTGCCATGAGCAGGGACACCACACACTAAACTGTGTCGCCCAAGGCTCTGTCCAGCCTGGCCTTGAACACCACCAGGGTTGGAGCATTCACAACTTCCTTGGGCAACCCATTCCAGTGCCTCACCACCCTCACTGTGAAGAACTTCTTCCTTATATCTAATCTAAACTTCCCCTGTTTAAGTTTAAACCCTTTACCCCTTGTCCTACCACTACAGTCCCTAAT